AGCATCAGCAGGAAGACCGTCAGCCTGCAGCCTCCAGCAGAATCCAAGGCTTGGCTGGGCGTGGCACAGGCCGGCAAGCTGACTGGGGGAGGCTGAGGCAGGAGGATCTCAGATTCAAGGCCAGCTGGGCGGCTGAGGGCTGGGGGCGTGATGCAGCTCCAGAACAAGAGGCCTGGAAAGCCAGAGAAAATGTCTGGATGTTGTTTTAGGGGCAGTGAAGGGCCCCGCAGGTCTTAAGTAGGATGTGAAGAGTTCTTGACAACTTTTCAATAGATGCTTCCTGGAAAACGGGGCTCATAAGAATTGGAGTTAACACCTACTGCAAAAAGCCCAGCAGGAGATGACCGTGGCCAAGCGAGGCATGGGACCCCTGGAGCGTGGCTGGGACCGCTCATCCTGAGCAGGGGCCCAGCTGACTTTAGGAAGTCTTTAGGGAAGGCAGGTGCCTTCCTTAAAAAGACAGAAGCCAAGCACTTGCTGGGGACTCTTCTCAGGCAGACCAGAGGCCAACAGCTCTGTGGTCAGCTGCCTCCCCTCCTGCTTCCTGCTGTTCCCAGTCAGAACCGGCACCCCCGGGGTCCACTGGTGGCCACCAAGAAGACCCTCTTCCTCCAGACGCCTCGTGCCCTGGAGGGCTCTGTGCCTTGTTCGGGAGCTTCTGGGTGGCAGGCGGCACCACGTTCACAGAGGGGCGATTAAGAGGCTTAATTTCATAAGCAAATGCAACCTTTCCACATCCGGGAGGATGCTTTAATCTTACTGTTTTCTTAAATTTCATCAAACAACGTCCAAGGGTGCCATGAATCCAAAGATGTAAAACAGGAGCTGAGCCATGTTTGCCCAGGCCCAGGGATTAAACAACCACCTTCAGAGGGATTTTTCCATAAGTACTTCTTATTGGTTTTCACGGGGTGGTTTAAGGTGCAAGAGAAAGCAAACAGAGAGATGGAAGTGGCGTCAGGAGGGATTAAGGTGGAAGGCCACAAAGCAGGGCAGATTAAAGGCCCAGCTGCTAAGAGAACAGACAACCTGGCTTTCTGGGAAGCCACCAAGCCGTGCCAGGCAGTCTTCTGGAGAGTTGGGGACAGAGGTCCCAAGCTCTCCTGGCAGGTGGCCCTCGAGGTTCTCAGGGCCTAGGAACAGACGCTGCTTCCCACCTGGGTGGCCACACTGGGGGACACTTCCATGTTGCCACTTCTTTCCCCCAGGGAGTTGCTGGCTTCTGCTTCTAGTGGTCCCTGGGATACCACTGAGTTGGGGTCTCCCCTCACAGCTCTGGCTCCACCTTGACCCCCCAGGACCTCCTCCTAACCCTGGCCTGTGCCTGGGGGAACTGCCCAGGTGTACAGGAGGGATGGGAAGTTTCCCCGGGAGGCACGTACCCTTCCTCTGTTGTGGCTCCCACACAGGACGAAGGGACAGGCTCTGCCCTGCCAGGCACTTCTGACTCTGACCCAGGGTCCCCTGTGCGGCTCCTGGAAGCCTGCCCTTCTCAGGCACCACAGCTGGCCTGCTCCCCTGTCAGAGGGGCCAGGGTGAGAACAGTGGCCCCCGCCAAGGGCAGGTGGAAACACAGGACGCTCGTTCACGCGGATGGCAAGCGGGAGGCTGCAGCCCTCTGCCAAGCCAAGGGCAGCTTCCCGGGAACACACTTCTCAATCCAGAAGCCAAGCCTGGGCTTCATTCATCCCAGGGCCACGGAAATGCATGTGATCCTGCTCAGTAATGTGCGAGACCCTGCCCCTGGTGTCTAGAGCAGTCTTATTTATGTCCTTGACAAACTGGTCAGTCCCCACTGGGCCATCAGCAGGACAAGGCCATGACCTGCTTATGAACACCGCCCATGGGGGGTCTCAAGGCATCCAGGGTGGGCCACGCCAGGCTCAAAAGGCCACAGTGGAATGGCTCCCTTATGTCACCTTACCAAGATAAGACTCAACACAAGGCGACAAGGCGGGGAGTGGCCTCGAGGGGTTTGGCTGGAGGCAGGCGGGAGGGTGACGGGCAGATTCCCTTAGAGGAACTACACGGGTGACTGTGCACGCACCTGTGCAGGCTCCACTGGGTACAGATCTCACTGTGAGGGCAGGCTTCAAGGCAGAAGGAAGAGCCTTCTCCTTCTGAGAGACTGTCTCTGCCATGCCCCCAAATTCCCATGTCCTCATCGCTAACCCTGTGACTGCCACCAGACCCGGTACCAGGGAGCTTGCAGAGGGGACTATACTGAGGGTTTTGGGGTACAGAGGTCATCCTGGGTTATCTGGGTAAGTCCTGCACAGTGGGCAGAGGACAGAGGGTAAGAAGGCCAGGTGGTAGTGGACACAGAGGTGGCAGAGTCTGGAAGACACTACTGACCTGCCGCAGAGGGAAGTCCAGGAATGGCGCCCCCAGCACATTCTGGCAAAGGCCGGAAGGGATTCTCCCTGGAGCCTCCCAGGGACCAGCGCCCGCACCCTCAATGTGAACCCAGGAGGGCCGACTTCAGCCTCGGACTTCCAGGGTTGGAATAGGTGCGTGGCCCGCGTCTTAAAGCATTTTGTGGTGACATGCCACCTCAGCAGTAGGAAACCCACAGACTATGAATCTGTTATCATTTCAGTTTTGAAAAGCAGGCCAGTTCAGGGTGAAGGCCTGCCCCCTAGCAGGCGGGCGGGGCAGGAGGGAGGTCCTCCTCGCAGCCCATTTTCCTCTACACTGCCCTGTGATCAGACCGCACAAAGGAGAAACGTGCTCACGTCCTGCCACACTGCCCACGGTCACGCTGGCCAGGCCGGGAGCTGCGCAGGCTTCTGCACCTGTTCCCAGTGCCCTCCAAGCTCCCCTGCCGCAGCATGGTGCCGTGTGTCCAGGCGTGCTCCTCTCCCCTCCCCAGGGCGGCCGAGAGCCTGGGAACAGAGGACCAGCTCTGCTGCCCGGTGGCAGGAGCACAGGAGGCCACCCACTTGCCCCCAACACATCGTCTACCTGAACTTCTGCCTGGGTGCAAGGCACTCAGGGAAGTCAAGGGCAGTTTGTGCCCTTCACCCAGAATTACCCTCCTTCGGGGTTCTCTGTAATCCCTCACGGACTGGGGAATAAGTCTTTTCTTGACACCTTTGCAGTTTCTTTGAGCAACCTGGAATCAGTGGATCCCATGAATGTCCCCTCCCCATATCTGGGGGCCCCAGGCTGAAGTCCCTGAGTGGCTGGCCAACCCTCTCCCCAAGAGGAGCCTGTCATGATCTGCTATGCATGTGACTGACACCCTCTCAAGGCAGCAGCACCTGGGGCCACCCTGGGTGGCTGTGGAAGGCACAGTCGGTCCCTGTCATTTGCCAGGAAGCCACACTTTATCGTTCATCTAGTGTTCCTGGGAAGTCTGGGACTGGCCACCATGAACTGCTCCCCATCCTTGTGTTGTTTTAGCCAACAGTTCCCTTTCTGAACACTTCTCATGTGTTACAATGTGACAATTTCAGACCCTCCCTGCCTGGAGAGGCAGATGAACTCTCCACAGTCTAGACAAAGGATTCCAGGCACTCGCTGCCATTGCAAGCTGACTTTCAAGACTTGGCAGCCATCAAGCCAGTGTACTTTTCTGCCTCAGGGTCTTCAATTCTTTTTTCTTGGTAATGCTGGGGCTCAAACCCAGGGCTTCTTCCATGCTAGGCAAGGGTTCTATGCTGAGCTACATCCCCAGACCTGTTTTATTCATATTTTGAAATTAATTATGTTTTCTATGCTGGTTTCCCTGGTGAACCAGAGTAATTTCGTTGTTGGGAAGAATTTCTCAAACAAATCCCAAATTCCCTGGTAGGAGAACTGAGCAATTCTCAAACAACCCTTAAAAGTATGTAAAGCCCCCAGTCTGGGATTTCTAGAGCAGCAACGTGTAATCCGGAGAGCAGAGGATAAATATGAAGAGCCTGCCCTCCAGGGAGGGCACAAGGCTGTTCAAATGTCACGAACACGAATAGAAGCCATCTCCCCGCCAGGTGTCTCGAGGAGAGAAAGGTTACATTTGTTAGCGTTTTGGCGTTTCCAAAGTCAGGTACAGCGGGTCTCCACAAAGCCCCAGAGGCCCGCAGGTTTCCCCAATTCCCAGCGATTCAAACTTGACAGCCCCCAGCACTGGCAAGGCGAGGGTGTGGTGGCCCCAAGCGACTCCCCTGAGCAAAGCGCGAGGGCGGCAGGACTTCTGGGCCGCAGTCGGGTCTTCTGGCTCTTTCTGGGCTGTCCCAGGCTCCTGGGCCGCAGTCGGGTCTTCTGGCTCTTTCTGGGCTGTCCCAGGCAAGAGCCAAGTCCCTTGGCCTGCGGCTCTAGCATCCTCCCGTGTGCATGGGATGGGTCCAGCGGCAGGGACCCAGGTGAGGGAGCTCGGGCAGGAAGGCAGGCTGCATCTGCCCCCTCCCTTGGTAGTGGATGGTAACAAGGGACTGATTTGGGGTGCGTGCTTACAGTCAGGACCACAACAGAATCCTGAAAACCTGCAAAGACGAATTCCGGCTGGAGTTGAGGAGGAGTCTAAGAGGAGGAACTGCCATCTGCCAGGAGCTCTGGCAAGCAACACGGGTGCCCCAGGACCAGCCTGCGTCCTGGGTCCCTCTGAAACCCCTGAAGGGCCGTGTCTACACCCTTCAGCGAGACAGAGCGGACAGTCCCCTTCGCTTGGGGCACGCTGCCTGGCTCCTTCCGCACCCCTCCTGTCCGGACTCCAGGGCAGCCCATCTGGGGTCATGGCCCATCTGAGACAAATAGGGGCGCAGAAGCACCTGTACCTTGGCACCACAGGTATCGCCTCTCCCACTGCTGGCCCTGTGCTACCCTTGCAGCCGCACTTGCGCCTGGGCAGGGTGCGGCGGTGGGCACACGCATGTGGGGCGCACAAGCGACAGACCACCGCGGGGCTCGGCGGGGGGAAAGGCAAGGCTCCGCCCCTTCCTCTTTCAACCCGCCTCCTCCGTGCGGACCCCGCCCCTTCCTCCGTGCGGGCCCGCCCCCGCCCGGTCTTTCCCAGCGGCGCGCGCGCACGGTTTCCCGCACGTGGGGGCCGGCCACAACCTCCGGGGCGATGCCGCTCGCGCCCCGGTGCCGGGCGGTGCGCGCCTTGCTGCGCAGACACTACCGCGAGGTGCTGCCGCTGGCGGCCTTCGCGCGCCGCCTGGGGCCCGAGGGCCGGCGGCTCCTGCGGCGAGGAGACCCGGCGGCCTTCTGCGCTCTCGTGGCCCAGTGCCTGGTGTGTGTGCCCTGGGACGCGCAGCCGCCTCCCGCTGCCCCCTCCTTCCGCCAGGTGGGACGCCCTGGGGATCCGGGAGGGTGGGGACGGGGGAAGAGGCGGGACTCAGGGCAGCGCGACTCGCGGACGCCTCCGTCCTCAGCGACTCAGGACCTTCTCCCCTGCAGGTGTCCTGCTTGAAGGAGTTGGTGGCCAGGGTCGTACAGCGGCTCTGCGAGCGCGGTGTGAGGAATGTGCTGGCCTTTGGCTTCGCGCTGCTGGACGGGGCCCGTGGCGGGCCACCTATGGCCTTCACGACCAGCGTTCGAAGCTATTTGCCTAATACGGTGACGGAGACTCTGCGCGGCAGTGGCGCCTGGGGGATGCTCCTCCATCGCCTGGGCGACGACGTGCTGGTCCATCTGCTGGCCCGCTGCGCTCTCTACCTGCTGGTGGCTCCCAATTGTGCCTACCAGGTGTGTGGGCCGCCTCTCTATGAACTCTCCGCTACCGACAAGGCCCAGCCCACAGTGCCCCGGACCCGCTGGCCCACAGGGCACGCAGGCCGGACAGGCCACCGATCCACAGGCCCAGTCCAGAACAGCAGCAGCCAGAAGGCCCTGGGCTGGCCAGCCCGAGGTGCAAAGCGGCACCTAGACAACGCAGGCAGAAGTCCGCCTTTGGCCAAGAAGCGGAGGTGCAGCCTGGGCCTGGAGCAGGCCTGTGGGCCAACTCCTGGAAAACCCTGTGGGGTGACACCCCGCCCAGCCGCAGCTGAAGCCGCATCATTGGAAGCTAAGTCCAGAACCCAGCACTCCTCCCGTCCATCCACACTGTGGCCGCCACAGCCCCAACCACAGGTGGAGGTCAAGTGCTTCCTCTATTCCTATTCTCGGGGCAGGGAGCAGCTGCACCCCTCCTTCCCTCTCAGCTCCCTGCGGCCCAGCCTGAGTGGGGCCCAGAGGCTTGTGGAGACCATCTTTCTAGGACCAGTGCCCCTCCAGCTGGGTGTGCCTGGCAGGACACACCGCCTGTCCCCACGCTACGGGCAGATGCGACCCCTGTTCCGGGAACTGCTGGCCAACCATGCACAGTGCCCTTACCTTGCTCTTCTGAGGATGCACTGTCCACTTCAGGCTGCGGCCACCCAGGTGGCCCGTGCCTGTGCCTCAGGGAGGCCAGCTGGGGCTCCTGGGGGGTCTGCAGACCCGGGCCACCTGGCTGAGCTGCTGGACCAGCACAGCAGCCCCTGGCAGGTATATGCGTTCCTACGGGCCTGTCTCAGCAGGCTGGTCCCCGCCGGCCTCTGGGGCTCCAGGCACAACCAGCGCCACTTCTTGAGGAACGTGAAGAGGTTCATCTCTCTGGGAAAGCACGCCAGGCTGTCACTGCGGGAGCTGGCGTGGAAGATGAAGGTGCGGGGCTGTGCTTGGCTGCGCAGGAGCCCAGGTGAGGAGGGGCCGCCCTCCCGGCCAGCACTGGCCAGCCCTGCAGCACGTGCAGTAGGGCTTAGGGGAGTGGCCCGGTTGAAGGCAGGGGCCCTGGGTCCCCAAGCAGGTGACAGGTTTCTTGACCTGTGGCTGTCAGGGAGCTCCAGCTGATCTCTGCCTCTGAGTGCCCTCTCTCCAGTTGTCAGGGACCTAAGAGACTCCTGTCCACTTTCACTGGGGCACTGGGGATGGCACAGTGAACAGACAGGGCAGGTGTGCGTGGCCGTGGGTTCTGGCAACAGGGGAGGGTCCTGGAGGTCATAGCTTTCTTGCGAGGCAGGTTATACTGAATCCTCTCTTGACCTCAGAGCTCATCCCTGAGAATGGTGCCCTACCTGATAGCAGCAGGGATGGGAGAAGGTGTCCAGGTCACCGGTGTGCAGGTGCGTAGGTTTTTTGTGTTTTTTGGAGGGTACCAGGGATTGAACTCGGGGGCACTGGGTTACTGAGCCACATCTCCGGCCCTATTTTGTATTTTATTTAGAGACAGGGTCTCACTGAGTTGCTTAGTGCCTCGCCATTGTTAAGGCTGGCTTTGAATTTGTGATCCTCCTGCCTCAGCCTCCTGAGATACTGGATTACAGGCCTGTGCCACCACACCCAGCAGGCATGTAGTTGTCAATAGATGTTCGTTTTACTTATTTATATGTGAGCCTCACATGTGCTAGGCCAGCGCTCTCCCTCTGAGCCACAACCCCAGCCCGGCATACACACCTTGTAATGGTGTGTATGCTGGGGCAGGGCAGGGTGGGGGACAGAGACCAGGAAGAAGACCACCCAAGCCCTCCTCTCTGCCCGTTGTTCAGGCCTCCATCACCTTGGTCCTCCAGGCCTGCCTGTCCACTTCCCTGGCTGCCCCCTGGAACCCTCTGCCCTCCCAGGCTGTGTTTTCTGCAGCCCTGAAGGCCAGACTGCAGGGATGTGCGTGTCCGCTGCCCATTATGGCTGGAGACCTGCCCAGAGGGTTTCCTGTGGCCTGCTGGGAGTGAGGCGCCTTGGCCTCCACTTGTCCAGATCTCTCCCAAGCCGCCCCTGCTCTGGCCCCTTGGATGGGGCCACCCTTGCCCCTTGATCTGGGCCTGTGCTACGTCTCGCCCAGGCGGAGCCCTGCCTGCCCTCCGTCTTTGGCCGGCTGCATGGTCCCTTTCCCAGTTTTCCACAGAACCTAGCTGGTCCTCTCTGTTGGGGCTTTGTTTTGAGTTTGGTTTCTCCCTGGTGTTTGGGTCTTCCTCCTGCTTCTTTTAGGGGCCCTTGTTACTTTTCTAACTTCTTAGGGGGTTCTTCACTGTGTTTCCCTCCGAGTACGCCTTAGCTGTGCCTGTTTTTTGATGTGGAGTCATTTAGGTGCAACCGTTTTGGGGGGTATTTTCTCACTTCTATGATTTCTTTGACCAGTGAGCTATTTAGGCATATTTTTCATTTTCCAAATGAATGGGGTCTGTTTTAATCAGCCTTCTCACTGCTGTGACCGGAACGATTTCAGAGGAGGAAAAGTGTATTTGGTGCTCACTGTCTCTGAGGTCACGGTCCACAGACGGTCAGCTCCGAGGGGAGGCAGGACACATGGTGGAAGGGTGTGGAGGAGGAGCGCAGCTCAGGACATGGCACCAGGAAGCAGAGAGACTGAGCTGCGCTCACCAGGGACAGAACGACAGGCCCGCGCCCAGGGACCCACTCCCGCAGCCACGCTTGCCTGCTGCAGTTGCCTCCCAGTGGGTCCCTGTCGGGATCGACACTGACGAGGCGACGCCTCTCAACCTGATGGCTTCCCCCTGAACTCTCTGTGCCGTCCCACCCAGGAGCTTCTGGGGGACACCTCAGACCGACCCCAGGAGATCTGGAAGGGCCTTTCGTCATTTCCAGCTGGTCTGTGTGACAGCCGTGGTCTGAGGTTGGTGTTTTGGCACCCAGAGGCTGGGCAGTGAGCGTGGTCGTCTCTGTGCCCTGTGTGGTCTTGCTGACCGCTGCGTGGGGGCTGCGGAGGCCGGAAGGCCTGGGGGCACCGCGGTCTCGCTCCAGGGTGGCTGTGCTGCGTCCTCTTGCCCTGGAGTCTGCAGGCCGTGTTCGGGTGTGGTCTCTGGTGAGGTGTCATTGCAGGACAGTGACGTGAGGAGTTCTCTCCCTGCTGTCTCTTTCCCGTTCTCCGGCGCAGCTGCGCTATCTTTATTTTGTTTTCTTGTTTTCACCTGGTGCTGAGGATCCAACCCCCAGTGCCCCACCTGTGCCAGGCAAGCACTCCACGCTGAGCCACAACCCAGCCCCGGGCTGCCTGGGTCCTTTCTCCTCCACTAGGTATCTTACTTTTGGGGCAGTGCTGGGGGTTGGACTCAGGGGCACTTGGCCACGGAGCCACACCCCGCCTTTCTTAGGTGTTTTATTTGGAGAAGAGCCTGGCTGAGCTGCGTAGCGCCTTGCCGTGGCTGAGCTGGCTTTGAGCTCGCCGTGGGCCTGGATCTCACTAGTCTTCATCTTCACCTTTTCAGATTCTAGTCACTGGGTCCGTCTCTTCAGTAGCAGGGAGGTGGGTTTATTTCCTGTCCCTTCTGACAGTTGTCACTTAACTGGACAGCTGGACAGCCTGTTGTGTTTGTTGGTGAAAGAAAGTGAGAAAGCGAGAGACCACGGGGAGGGGATGGTGGGGGTGGTGGTGAAGGGCGGAGAACAGGCAGAGGTCCACCCGAGGATTCGCTTGTCAGAGCTGACAATAAAGTCCACCCCCCTGTAGGAGAGAGGCCCCGAGATGTCCGGGGCTCAGCTTTTGTGGGTAGGGCTTGGGGTGTGAGCTATGGCCCTGTGGGACAGGCTGGGGGTGCTTCATCAGAGCCAGGCGGGTGGGAGAGCGTGGGATTGGCTGGGGTTAGGGTGCCCTGGGGTGGGTCACTGGTGGGGTGGGGGTGGGTACGAGGAAGCCCAGGAGAGTGGAACTTCCGAGGTGGCCGTTAACAGATAAGATGGCTGCTCGGGTGATAGATCAAGACCCTGGGCTGGCTCCTGGGGACGCTCGAATGGGCTTTTCTCCCTTTCACTTCCTTTCGTGTGCGGTGGTCCTGGTTCCTCACCATCCTCCGGGCTGTTGGTGCCTTTCCTGGTGGTGTGGATCCTCAGGATGCAGAGTTTATCCCGACTCCCATCAGGAAGGGCCTTGGCGGGTTCAGCCTGACCCCCACCCGCCAAGTGCTCTGCCTGGGCTGCTTTGCCAGGGACCCACTGCTCCCCTCCTCTCTGTCCCCAGGCCGGCTGCTTTGCCAGGGACCCACTGCTCTCCTCCTCTTTGTCCCGTGCCGTCTTGTCCCGGCCTGCCTTCTGGGTTCCTGCTGCTGCTCTGCAGTGCCTTTCCTGTCCACTGTTGGTGGTCAGCCCGGCTCTGTCTGGCCTCTGAAGATGCCTGTGGCTGCTTCTCACATGCACAGAATAGAACGCAGAGGGCCCAGGGCGCCCCGGGCTCACTGTGTGTGTTGGAGCCTGGGTTCGGAGTCCCTTGGCTGGTGGTAGCTTGGCTGTGCAGCCTGCAAACCCACCTCAGGGTTCTGGATCTTGCTTCCCAGTGACGGGTTTGGAATCGTGTGGACCAGTGTGGGGACAGAGAGCACATGCCTTCTCCGCTCTGCTCACACACACAGGAGGAAGCTGCCTGAGCCACAGGTGTGGCTTTAAGCTCTCCAGCAGCCACGCCCAGGGAGCAGAGAGCACGTCTACCCGAGCCCAGTGTGTCCTCTCAGTGCCATCCGTGGGCATCACGGGATGGGTGCCATTTCTGGTGGACTGTGGCTGCCATGTGGGTCTGGGGTGCAGCTGTGGGTTGTGGGGACGGAGTGGGGTTCAGCAGCTCTCTTGTTGCAGGTACCCACTGTGTGCCTGCAGCAGAGCACCGTCTGAGGGCAGAGATCCTGGCCAAGTTCCTGTTCTGGCTGGTGGACACCTATGTGGTGGGGCTGCTGAGGTCCTTCTTCTATGTCACAGAGACCACGTTCCAGAAGAACAGGCTCCTCTTCTACCGCCAGAGCACCTGGCACAGGCTGCAGAGCGTGGGGCTCAGGTATCGTCCGTGCTCTGTTTGTCGATGTCGGCATGAGCGGAGGTGCTGATCCCAGCTTGTGTGAGGCACCTGCAGCTTGTCCACTCACAGAGTCCTGTGGTCTGGGTGGGGCCCCATTGTCCTGGCCCGTGGGGCCCTGGACTACGCACCAGCTGCCTGGGTCCAACCATCATAGCCACCCTGCTGCGGAGAAGAGTGGTGGGCGGGAGAGCATCGACAGACTGCTGCCTGCAGGTCGGACTCTCTAAGGCACACTGCTGCTCCCTGCCCACCCCTTGGGAAGTGTCTGGGAGGGGCTCCTTGGGGGACTGCTGGCTGGCTTGGCCTCTGAGCATCTGGACTCTGTGTCGGCTCCATTTCCCATCCAGGTTCTCAGGGCTGCAGCAGGCAGAGCTGCCTGTGCAGGGTGAGGGATGGGGGCTGCAGGGCCCCCGACTGTGTTGTTGGCTCTTCCGAGGCCACCATAGTGGTGGGCACTATTAGCACCCGCGTCAGGGCTGCTGAGCACATCTGCGTGCTCAGACCCATGGGACCCTTGGCACCCACGCCCAGCCCGGGGTGTCAGTAGGGAGCAGCAGCAGGCTGCAGAGATGCTTGGCCAGCTGGGGGCAGCGAGGTGGTGCTGGATGTTGGCTGTGTTTGAACATCTTGGGCTGACTATGGGGCTGGGGTCAAGCACCTCTCTCGAGGGGTCTGTGGTCAGCGTGGTCGCCATGGCCCTGCACAGCCCTGCAGCGTGAGCCGGGCGTCGAGTGTCCTGGCAGCGCACCTGCTGTGTGGGGTCCTGTGGCTCCAAGAGGCTCTGTCGCAGGCAACTCCTGGAGCGCGTGCAGCTGCGGCAGCTGTCGGAAGCCGAGGTCAGGCAGCACCAGGGCACCCGGCCCGCCTTGCCCACGTCCAGACTCCGCTTCGTCCCTAAGCCCAACGGGCTGCGGCCCATCGTGAGCATGGACTGCGTCGTGGGTACCAGACCGCTCCGCAGGGAGAAGAAGGTAACCCTGGGTCGCGTCGCCTCGCCAAGCCCCTGGTCAGTGCGAACTTAGACGAGGGCCCCAGTGTGTGGTGAGCCACAGAGGGCAGAGTGAGGTGGACAAGGGCCATCGTTCCCAGGTCTAGGAAGTCAGTGTGGGCAGGTCCGGGCGGATGGGACACCGGCTCGAGGGCCTCTGGGCAGCTGCTCAGGGCACGAGACACTTGGGCTCTCTAGGTGCCCGTGGACTCCTCTCGTGGGCACCAGCGCTGTGCTTCCCGTGTGGGGAGCAGGAGGGACAGCCAGCCAGACCCCAGGACAGAGGCCCTCCCCACAGCTCCTGACCCTGCGGCTCCTGCCTCCCCTCCCCTGACCCTGTGCCCCCTGACCTCCCTGACCTGTGGCTCCTGGCCTCCCCTCACTTTGTGGCTCGGGAACTGGTTTGGTCTGTGTGGGTGACGATGGTCCAGGCCTGACCGCAGCTCTGGCGGCCCTCCAGTGCGTGGTGGGTCGTGTACCCGTTGCTGTGGTAGGTGGGGTGGGCCAGGTGGCAGGATCAGGTGAGGTTGGGGATTAGGCCAGGAGTAGCTTCTCGGATGCCCCTGGGTCCTCTGAGATCCCCACTCTGCCTTAGCCCCTCACAGAGGGCTGGACCCTGTGCCCTCCCGACACCATGCCCTCTGTGTCCCAGGCCCAGCAATTCACTCTGCACATGAAGACCCTGTTCAGCGTGCTCAATTATGAGCGGGCCCAGCGACCTGGCCTCCTGGGGGCCTCTGTGCTGGGCATGGACGACATCTACAGGGTCTGGAGGGCCTTCGTGCTGCGTGTGCGGGCTCAGGACCCGGCGCCCCGGCTGTACTTTGTCAAGGTGGGCACCTGCCCCGCCCTCCACACCCACTGTCCTTCAGAACAAACCCGTCAGCCCAGCTCATGGTGGGGAGTGGTCGCCTACCTCACCCCGATAACTGGGCCCTAGGCGTGTGTCCTCTGATTCTCTTGGGAGATGGGAACCCGAGTGCCTTCTCCTGGGGACACCAACTCGGGACAGAGCTTTGCGCCTGTGTGAGCTCCCTGGACTCAGCACCCCAAGTCCTGGGTCCCACTCTTAGGAGCATCCCACCAGATGTCGGTTCCTCTTCAGAGAAGGAGCTGAACCTGGCTCAGAGCCCCGGGCTTGGGAGCCCTGTGTGTGTCCATGAGTCCTGTGGCCCAAAGGTGCAGGCTGGCTCCCTGGGGTCCTC